GGGGGGGGGGGGGGGGAGACCACCCCCCCCGCCCCCCGTCAGCGGGCTTTGCACCCGAAATCGCCGCCGCCTGGTGCTTTACCTCATCCCCAAAGAAGGCGGAATGCAGGAAGGACAGGAACCAGAGCAGTCCCATGGAGCCTGCATCCTGCAGCCGCGGCCGCGGTCTCTGTCTCGCTCTGTCTCCTCCTAAAGGGCTGGGTCCGGGCGGGGAGTGGAATTTTTTACCCGAGCGAGCCGGGCTCCCAGCCCTAGGTGGCAGCAGATCCCATTTGGCTCCAGCTCTCAGATCGAAGGCAACAGCAATGAAAAGGGAACAGTCAAGGGTGCAAGGCTAGCCGCAAAGGCGCGTGAGCCTGGGGAAAAGATGGGGGTGGGGTGGGGGGGATAGACAAGACCTGAAGAGACAGCAAGGGAGAGGCCGGCGGGGCCAGAAGTGTCAGGGGGGCGGCAGGTCCCATCGGAAACAATTATGAAAATCCACAAATCTCATCTCAGACTAAGCGAGGCCAGCGATCAGCTCTTCTCCACGGCCCCCGGCCGCAGACCAAGAAGAAATCAGCGAAGTTTGCAGCCAGGGAGAATTAGATTGGATATTAGGCAAAACTTTCTGTCTATACTGCTAGTCACGCTCCGGAAAAGGCTGCCTGGGGAGTTTTGGAGGACAGGGTGGACAGCCACTGCTCAGGGATGGGCTAGGTTTACTTCGTACCACTTCAGCGCAGGGGGTTGGACCGCTTGAAGCCTCGTCCAGCCCGATATTCCAGTAAACGGACAAAAACCATCTTTCCAGAACCCCCCGAGATTGTTGGACCCAAGAGAACTTTAATCATCAAATCTGTTGCTTTCGCGTTGATTTCAGTGTAAGTAATAACTCAGAAGCTCGGTAGGGGCCGTGACACCCCGTTAACACCACAGTGCACGACTACAATCGCTTCAACGGGAGCTCAGCCGGCCACTGGCAACAAGTCCTTTCTGACCCTTATCTGAGAAGCAAACCCTCCACCTTCTCCAAACCCCGTCCCATCAGACACTGGTCTTCTCTGATCCTCCTTTTAGACCCTGATCCTGCAATCCTTCAGCATCTGCAGGATCGATCTCTTACTATTGAATTTCACTCTCCGAGGGGGGGGGGCGCAGAGCGTGGCCCCATTGAAGTCAGTGGGAGCGTTCTCTGTCTATTTCTAGTCAATTTCACTTCCTGATTCTCAGGCCCTCATACTGTGGACAAGGAACAGCCCTTAGTTATCTGGCATCTTTGATCCCCTAGTCGCAAAGCGGGGTTAAAGTTCACTATCCTCATTTTACAGATGGGGGAAACTGAGGCGCGGGAAAGGGAAGAGATTTGTCCAAAGTGAGCCAGTGAGTGAGAGGCAGAGCCAAAAAATAGAACCCAGAAGTCCTGACCCTAATGCCAACTCCCTTCTCATCTCCAGACCACACGCCCCTCCCCGAGCTGGGCATACAACACAGGAGTCCTCTTCCAGCCCTGCCACTACCTCAGCCTATCAGGGTGATTTCCTCCC